TGCTGCAGACCATGGCATGTGGCTTTTCCCTGTTCTTCACTATCCTCAGCTGCTCCGCGGCCACTACGGAACGGTTTGAGAACCCACAAGGAGATGACTAGCCCTCTAGACTGTAGGAACTCCGCCTGAAAAGCGCCTGCCCCTTCCAATCAAGACAGCTTTTATTTCTTTTTTTTTTTAAATTATTTATTTATTTATTCATTCATTTTGTGTGTGTGGCCAGCTCAGCCCACCAGGGGGCGGGGCTGGCTGGCATGTGGTGCTGGGGGATTGAACCGCGGTCCCTGTGTTTTGCTTAGCTTAGCTTGTTCTAAGTAGGTGCTTTAGACCACTGAGCCATCTCACCAGCCCCAAGACAGCTTTTAATGGAAAGATCATTCAAGCATTTTTCTGCTACAGATTTCCTACATTTGGTACTTGCATTAAACATTCATTATGTAGATGGTATCTGTAACCATCCACCTGCCAGTCTTTTTCTCAGTGTCTCAGAAGTCTTCCTAACCCCACGCTTACAAACTAAATCTTAATCCAGAACTTCTCCCTTACTATTACTCTTCAGCCTTTGCTACTCGCACCAAATGTTGTTATTGCCACAACTCGACTGTTCTGCTTACAACTCTCTAGCAACCTTGGTACCTTCCACCCTGTGATCACGGTGGACAAAAATCTCTCATTCATCTTTACACCATCTGGATCCTTAATCCAGCTTACTTTTCTTAGTTTTCTTGACCTCCCCCTTGCCACCTGCAAAGACCATCCACTCCTCTCCTGGAAAGCCATTTCCTTCAGGCGGGATTTCCAAGGGATGAAAATTTATGCTAGGTATAATACAAAGAATACCACTAGCGTTCTCATTTAATCCTCACACTAATAAACCACCCCTATTTTTACATTTAGAAAACTGGGGCTTAGAGAGATTAAGTAACTTGTCCAAGGTTACAAGCAGGATTTTAATCCAAATCCCTCTGAGCTGAACTCTTAACCATCCTACTCTACTGCATCCAGCAGTCAGACTCAAGTCCATGAAAGAAGCGGTTTCCTGAACCATGTAGAAAGTATGAGCCAAAAGACCACTCTGAACTGTTCTGTTTTGGGTGTTTTTTTATTTTTAAAGCCTCAGCACAGAATTCTTTACTGTGTCTAAAATAGTATGGTAAAAACATCTCAAATAATACATAACCTACATGTAAAATCTAGGGTATCACCAATATTTTCCCCTTATGTGGTAGCACACCAGTATATATAAGAGTAAGTATAGTTGCCAGGGAGATAGCTCAGCAGCGTTAAGTGCCTGCCTGGCAAGCACAAGGTCCTCAGTTCGATCCCTGGTATGGGAAAACAAAACAACAAAAAAACAGTATAGTTGATGGTCCAAAGGAGCAAATAGTTGGGGCAGGGACATCCTTGGCCAAGCATTTCCTTCAAAGACCAGCTCAATGTCAATTTTAGTCAGAATACAGTATTAAGAGAGTTTCTGTCCAGCTTGGATTTGCCTTTTTTATTTTGCATTCCTGGTCATTTCAAAACAACATAATAGAAATGACAAAGCTTAAAAAAAAGGAGTATGTTTGATTTCAGAAGTACTTAGTAATTTTTAAAGAAAGATTACTATTAAAAAAAAAGATTATATATAAACACTTCCCGAAACAATGGGCTTTACAATATCCTGTATATAGGTGCAAAGATTCACTCAGGCCGTTAGTCAAATTCTGCTTAGTAATTTGTTTCTCATATACCTTTGCATCTCAGGATGACAGAAAACATCTGATTTCTCCTTTCCCTAGTGATCTGTTGTTAGCCTACTTTTAAGTCAGCTTACTATATATGCTTTAAGTCAGCTGGTTTCCTAAGTCTACCATTTCAACATCTCATTATTGTGTCCTTATACAATCTCTCAGTTAAGAAACATAAAACATCAGCTTACAAAGTGAAAAAGCAGATTCTTTCCTAAGTCCTTCCTTGCTTAAAAAAATTAAATGTCTAAGACCAAACATAGGGCCAGGTGCGGTAGTGCACACCTGTAATTCCAGCACTTGAAAGGCTGAGGCAGGAGGACTATTGCAAGTTCCAGACCAGTCTGGGGTACAAACTGAGCTCAGGGCCAGCCAGAACTGCACAGCAAGACCTTGTCTCAAAAAGACACAGACATACAGACACCCCCCCCCAAACATAGGCACTTTCCAAAAACCAAAAAATGAGGCCAAACCACAAAATGACTCCACAGTTACAGAAGGTAACTCTTCTTTGGGGGGATCTTGTCCAGTTACCTTCAGTATGAGCACTGGCTTTTGGCTGTACTTCCTTTTCTCTCAGCCCACCCAGACAGCCCAAGAGGAACATGCTTGTACAATACGGGGTTCAGGAGACCTGTGAACTTACAGGCATTTGAACAGAGCAGTTGCTTTCAAAATCACATTGTTGCAGGGACCGGGATTTGGTCTCCAGCACCACATGCCACAGCGGCCTTGCCCCTGGGCATGCCAAGCCAGGCACCCAGGTGTGGTGGCACACACCTGTAAACCCAGCACCGGGGAGGCTGAAAACAGGAGGCTCACTATGAGTCCCAGCTCTGTAGTGAGGTCCTGTGCCAAATACATAAAAAAAATCAAAATCAAAAATAGAAACACATTCTCACTCCAGCTGTAGGCAGCTGCCTAAGTTGTTTTGTGCCTACACACGTGTTACACTTCTGGGAGAACAGCAACAAATGGTTGGCTGGCATTCTGGGCCTAGTTCATACTACTTTTGTGTTTACTATTAAGACAGCCACACAGTTGAAAAAAGAAAAAAACAAAACATGTTCTCCAAGATGGGACAGAACACACAGGTCTCCTCTTGCTCCCAATTTAAGTGGTCCTGTATTAGGAAATCACTTCATGCTTTATGTGATACATCCTTAGTGAGTAAGCCCTGGTGAAGTTTTTCTTGCAGCAGTCATACTGAAATAGTGTACTTCTCCAGTGGAAAACACATGGTGTTTGAGATTCTGAATTCAGGTGAACAAGTCATGGCTGGACACTACAAAGGCCCGTCTGGACCATTTGGACTTGGTCGTTCTGTACTCCTGTAGAAGGAGCAATGTAGTTGGTAAGAGATGATGCACATTTTCCAGTTGATCACCATCATCCACATGAGCGTTAGTGCTGGAGGTGCTTGGAAGTAAACCCCCCAATCTACCTTCAACTATTGAGCCTATGTAGAAGACTGGACTAATCAAAAGGTGGTCCTGGATGTGTTCACTTCTTGGTACTGTCTGCTGATCACTTAGTGAACTCTGAGATGCACTGGCTGGCTGGAACATTTCCATGTCATGGACCTCTTCGTCATTTAACCTTTCTGCTTTGACTTGAATACCACCCTCAATGCACAGAGGCAAGGCAGTTTTTGTGCTCTTGCTAGTCATGCAATTAGTTCTTCTACCTGCTAAGATGGGTCAGGTAATTCTAACGTCTGGGCATTTCTACCTGTTTAACCTTTTTCAGGCTGGGTTCTTTGATCAATTCCAAAAGGGAAAAGCTAAAGAAGAGTCAACTGCTTGATTTCAATTTTCTATGTATGAAGCTGAAGGACTCAGTACCTGGGGAAAACTTCTTTGTGTGCTCCCTTTACAGGACTCTTCACAAGACAGAGCAATGCAGCTTTTGTGATTTCTCTGGGATGCTCAGCAGACAGAAATGATTCCACCACACTGCACTCCGAAGATACTGAAGAAATACTTCCATCTCAAGAAGTAAAACTGCAGTTAGAATTATTTTTTTATCCAGCATCTAGGCTCTTTTCTGGCTGGCTACTGGATGTATTCCATAAAATACTTGGTTTCATGAACTCTGTGTGGTACTTGCCACACTAAAAAATGTTTGCATATAGCTGGCTGAAGCTAGAAATTTTCTGTGTTAACAGAATAGCAATGTAAGCATATTCTAAAATGGGTATAAAGCCAGTCACTATCATATGATGCATATCCAAAATATTCTTGCTCCTATCATGCTTGGTCTATAAGCTTAATGCAAAAGAAATCACTGCAAGCTATTATACCACCTATGTGCCTGGAAGATTTTGTCCCAGGCCCAAATAGTGACATCACAAAATGTCCATCATTTCATAGCATATTTAGCTTTCCAACCATTTCCTCACTGTGGGAAGAAGAGCTATGAGGGAATGCTTTCACACCCATCTTTTCTTCCCTCTTCTGCAGATGTAAATGTAAATCCTCTTAAAGGATCCAAACAAATCAGAAATGTCTTTGACTGGGATTATATGGGTCAGAGAGGAAACATGTCTTCAGAGTAAAGGACAGTCATAATCCAGGGTCCTCAGACCACGTTCAAGCTGCGCGCCGGCCTGAAGGGAGGAGCGAGGGGGCCCTGGGAGCCCTGTGCAGTTGCAGTTGAGGGATGTTAGCCCTGGGCAGGCAGCAGTCTGGGGAGCTGGTAGGGAACAGGTGGTTAGGGCAGCCCTCCCCTAAACAGCCCATCAGCCTAGGACCTCTTTTTTTTTGGGGGGGGGGCGTGGGAAGCGGGGTGTGAGATGAAAGTCTTCCAGTGTGAGCTGAGTAGCTGCCCACCATGCCAGATCGATTGTACGAGCGCTTTAAGAGACCAGAACGTCATCTAACAATCAAGGGGAGCCTTCACTCGTGCACAGCACAATCACTTTGGGGGCACAAAGGCGTCTGTGTGCCAAGTGAAGATGCTCCGGGGCGCCTACCCGCGTGTGGAGCCAGCCCCCACCCTTTCTTCCACGGAAAGGGGGTGTGTGAGCACAGAGGCGGGTGCCCCCCACACCGGGCCTGGCGGCTCACCTCTCGCCCTCCCTACCCAGGCTGAAAAAGGCTGTCTGTCCCTCGTCCTCTCCCAGCTTGGCCTCCACCCCCTTCTCTCGCCTCTCGTTCCCCTCCAGCCTCTCTCACCATCCCTCGCCCCCTGTCCTCTCGGTCCCTGTCCCCCGCCCTTCTTTTCTTCGGGCTCAGCTCCTCTCCACCCAACCAGTCGCCGCCCAACCTTGAGCGTCACGTCGCACAGCTTGCCCTGCCGTCGGATCTCCTCCATGACGCCGTAGCCGCGACTAGGCAACTCGGACACCGAGAAGTGCACCAGGTCCTCAAGCTCCTCCGCACCGTCCTCCACCATCTTCCCCGGCCGCCGCGACTGCGCAGGCCTGGCCGGCTGGCTCCACACTAACCGACCGCAGCTCGCCGCGGGGAGCCGGAGTGGGTTGGGCCCGCGCGGCAGCCGTAGTCGCAAACTCCTCTGCGCCGGAAGCCCGGCTGCCCCGCTTCCTGGTTCCACCGCGGCCTTCCTTTCCCCTCTCCCATGGCCTCCGCTTCATGCATACACCTACGGCAGTTTCTTTAGATTAAAGGGTCCATTTGCCCTCTTCTGATTCGCCCCCGACCTTACTCGTATCACCGAAGAACTTCGGATTTCATTTCCGCCACACTCCAGGACACTTCCGGAATCCCCGGAAGCGACCGGTTACCATGGCGACTGTGTACACAGACTGGGAGCCCGCCCGGGGTGCCCAGGTCTTGAGCAGCGGTCGGGTGGATGCAGTTGCCGCTGTCGCGCCTCGCGAGCGGTGAGCAGGGGCCACGCGCGGGTGGGGTTAAGGCGAAGGGGCACCCGGTGCGCCCGGGCCGCTGGCAGGGGCTGGGGTTCCGGCGCGCTCTACGCGGGGCTCCCGGCTTAGCTTACTCATTTGTGAAACCCTGGTAGAGTTCGAGGCATCACGGGGTCCCTTTCAGTCTCACAGTAACGGCGGGTTTTCTCTGCTCCAGTTTCCTGGCCTCGCGAGGGTTCCACGAGGGTCCTACGTAGCGCCCAAGACAGACGGTGTGAGGCGAAGTACCAGAGGTCGTCTGGACTCTTCGCTCGTCCGTTTTCGAGCTGGAGGGGGCTTCGGGATCATCAGTCCGAGGCAGTCACTTTACAGATGAGGAAGCCACTCCAGAGAGGGACAGAAGTGGGCCCAAGGCCCTCTGTCGCGCACACTCCCCGCAGGGTTCCCGCTTGTTAGGTGAGGAAGAGGAGTCGGACCCACTATTTTGGGTTCGGATGCTGCTCTACCGTCGCCCCTGCCTCTGTCCCTGATCTGGAAGTTAGGGACCCGCCCGCTGCCTGTAGACCCTCTGGCCGCAGGCCGGCTCTTGTCGAGCCTTCAGGGATGCTTGGAGGACGAACTGTCCATTCCTACTCCTAAGACAAACAGGGAAACAGTGAGTCTCAGCACGGAGATCTGCTGGTGGCCACTTACTCACTTTATAACAGCAGAATATTAAGGATGGTGAGAGCGGTGCTCCCCACAGAGTCCCGGGGAAGAGAACACTGTTAACAGGAAGGGCGCAGTGAGCAGTGGAACGTGGCCTTTTGTACCTGAAAGCCAAGTGCCTCCTCACAGAAGTGCTGTGGGCTGGGGTTGGAGGAGCTGTGGGAGGGGACGGACATCAAATCCCCCTTGGGATTCTCTCAGTAGTGACTGAAGATGGATGTATGTGTGGAGACTCGGCCACCCTGTGACTTCCAGCCATGACCGACGCCACCAGCCACCATTTCCTGAAGGCCCACTCTGTGCCAGGCACTGTCCCAGATATTGTGGGGAGATTGAACAGAGTTAGAAGGCCCAGAGCTTGCCCTCGGGCAGCTCAGCAGTAATTTGGGAACTGAAACCCACACAAATGAAGCGGCGTAAGAGCGGTAACAAGCAGTATTTCAGTAAGTGTACAGTGGCATGGGGCCCTGGAAGGTCCGGGTATCCAGAGGCTGCTAAGCATGTGGCATGAAGAGGGCCTTGGGAAGCACAGACCGGGCGACTGCATGTGCATGTTGGCAGCTTCGGGGTGGAGAAGGGGCAGGCTTCGGGGCTGCTCTGACTTGGCCTGTGCCACCCTTGTGCTGTTGGCAAGCAGGGGCTTCAGAGAAGGAGCCCAGAGCTCCTCTGCTTCTTCATGGTCCCTTCCAGAAGGCACTCTGGATGACATCTGAATTTCCAGGCCACAGTTGGCCTGGTGCTGGTGTGGGAAGTAGTTCTAGTGTGGGGGTTTTAGAAATTGCGTATGTGTTCCAGTCAAAACAAGTTAAGTTGCTTCAACTTCCATTTAGTATAAATCAAGCTGCAGTTAATAATAAGATGTTTTCCTCAGTTTGGGGCTTGTGTTAGAGCTATTGTAGCTTTTAATTTCTAGGACTTAATTTTTGCAGACAAAAAAATGTTAGGGCTTAAATTGCGTAATCCATTATTATCTTTATTTACCCCAATATCTTTTAGATTAATTTTAATTTTTGGTTTTTTGAGACAGGATCTCACTTGTAGTTCAGGCTTTCCTTGAACTCACTATATAGCCTAGGCTGGCCTCGGACACAAAGCAATTTTGCCTCAGCCTTCCAGATGCTGGGATTACAGGCATGCCCCACCTCACATGGCCAGATTAATTTTCTTTCTTTTTTTTTTTATTAATTTTCTAAGAATAAATGCTATAGGGGCTGGAGAGATGGCTCAGTGGTCTAAAGCACCTACTTGAAACAAGCTTGGCAAAGCACAGGGACCGCGGTTCGATCCCCCAGCACCACATGCCAGCCAGACCCGCCCCCTGGTGGGCTGAGCTGGCCACACACACACAATAAATAAATGTAATAAATAAAAATAAATAAATATTAAAAAAAAAAATAAATGCTATAGATGCTATATCCCATAATATCTAGAAAAAAGGCTTCCATGAAGTAGTGACTTGAAGAATGTAACCAATGTGCACACATTTTACAGTAGGCAAGTGTGTAAGCGCCATGTTTACCTTTTTTATTTTATTTTTTTTGCGGATCTGGGGTTTGAACTCAGGCCCTTGTGCTTGCCAGGCACCTGCTTATTCTACTGAGCCATCTCCCAGGCCCCGTAAGTGCCATGTTTGCTTATTTGATTTCACAGCTACAGGACTTTTAAGAGGTCATAGTTTTATTTTGTACCACATCTTTGAAGCCAAACTGAAACAGCAACACCTGTCTCTATTTAGCTGGCTTATCTAGGGGCACACCATCACTTGATGATAGTTAATACTATTGTAAGAGAAAATCAGGTAATTACCACAACTTGTGTCTGGAAATGAGAAAGGCATTAATATTTTTAAAAGCTAGAATAATTATCGATAGGTAACAGCAGTGAGCCTCTCTTAGAAAGTTACATGTAAAATGTTACTAATATTTATTTAACATGCTTTTGTGTGATACTGCGGATTGAAGCCAGGGTCTCTACACTGAGCCACCTCTCCAGCCCGTGTGTTGTCCCTTATGTGCTGTGCATTAACTGAGCAGAATTAACCATTGCAGACCCAACCCTCAGCAAGAGAAGCCAGGAAAGGGCCATCAAAAGGCTTGGCGCTTACTAGCTTTACAGTACTCCGCACACATGGGTCACGGAAGCATTTCACTCTGGGGACTACAGTGTTTACACACTGCCATTAACAACCCAGTCCAAGAAACCATGGCAGCCTGGGAGAGACCTGGCCCCAAGACGATGCCTTGCTAGTGGTGGGGAGGGGCAAATTCGTATTCCTGTAAGGAGAACTCAACCACCTCAGCATCCACAAACAGCTCTTTCTGGGACGGGGTTGCCCATGATTAGATGAGGGATCTCGGCTGGTTCAGACTCAGGTGGGAAAGGAGCTAAGTTGCGTGGTCAGGCCCAGATGTGCAACGGTAGACAGGCACTTTGGTTTTTTCATGGGCTTTAAATATATGTGTGCGTGTGTGTGTGTGTGTGTGTGTGTGTGTGTGTGTGTGTGTCTATATATATATATATATATTTTTTTTTTTCCCCCCACTAATTAAAAGAAATTCTTTAGCTCAGTAGCACAGCACCTGCCTGGCAAGCACAAGGTACTGAGTTTGATTCCTGATACCAAAAGACAAGCAAACAAAAAGAAGTTCCTGAGGTTGAAAACAGGAGGATCACTATGAGTCTGATCTACATAGTGAGACCCTAGAGACCGTGTACCAAATGCATTTAAAAAAAGAAAGAAATTCCTGTTATATATAAGTGTGTTTGTTTCTTTGTTTTTAATAAGAAAGATCTTTAAAATGAGCTTTAAAGCCATGGTGGTGCTGCATTTCTGTAATCCTTGTACTCAGGAGGCTGAGAGAGGAGGATCGTGTGAGTCCAAGGATCATGTGAGTCTGAGGCTACAAATGAGTTCAAGGCCAGCCTGGACTCATAGTGAGACCCTGTCTCAAAAAACCAAAAAAGTTAGCTTCAAAAAGGTAACATTAGGGCCAGCTAGATAGCTCAGCGGACTAAAGTGACTGCTTAGGCAGAGCACAGCAGCTGGGGTTCAATCCCTGGTGTGCTGTGCCGGTCCTGCCCCTGGGACCCACTAAAATGGCAATTGAGACGGGGCAGCAATTGAGACTGGGCGTGGTGGCACTCACCTGTAATCCCAGCGCTTGGGAAGCTGACAATAGGAGAATCACTACAAGTCTGATTTATGTAGTGAGACCCTGTAGACCCTGTACTAAATACATTAAAAAAAAAAAAAGTTAACATTACATAAGTTTGTTAGGTGCTTTGCAAGTGCTGGGCATCTAATTCCACCCCATTGCAAAACCCACATCATGTTTAGCCTTCTGTTAGCCTCCATACAAACTGTAGTTATCTGTGCTAGTATAAATGAGGGGAGACAAACGTCCTTGTGGCTCCCTGAAAGAAAGTGATGAGAATATGCTTCCATGTCAGAAGAGGGAGAGGAAGTAGGGAACTGGGGTTTCTCTGTTGGAGGAATGCGAGAGGAAAGACCGACTGTGGCCGAGTCTAGACTGGACTGTCCTTCTAGTGCATCTTCTATACGGTCCAGTTGGTCAGCTGGAGGTACAGAAAGAGGCTGCCTCTGAAGCAAGGTGAGGTGATAAAGACAGTTAGTTTTTCCAGGTGTCGTGGCACATTCCTGTAGTACCAGCATTCTGGGAGGCTGAGGCAGGAGGATTGCAAGTTTAAGTCTAGCTGGGACAACTTTTTTGGGGGGTGTATGAGGAATCACACTCAGAACTTTGAGCCTGCCAGTCAGGTGCTGTGCTGCTGAGCTATATCCCCAGCCTCTAGCCTGGACAACTTAGTGAAAGCCTGTCTCAAAAAATAATAAAAAATCTGGGGATATAGCTAAATGCAGAGGTCCTTGGTTCAATTCCTAATAACACACACACACACACACACACACACACACACACACACACGTATATAACAGGAAAATATGTAAGTGGGACAACCCATAAGTGAATTCATCTCAGATGCAGACTATTTCTAGAAAGAACAACTAAGACCACTAAAGGGAGGATTATTTTTGCTTCTATTTCCGTCTTTTTCGGGGCAATAGTGGGAATTAAGCTGACTACAAAGCCACGTTCAGTGCCTGCTGAACAGGTACCGGCCAGCTGGAGGGCCAGAAGGTGGAGGAGCTCTCAGAGGGATACGAGAAGCCCTGCACCTTCCTCTTCCTTACCCCCTGGATGTCCCTACCCTAGCGTTATTTGACAATAAGCACTGAGCATGTGGTGTTCTCTTCCTTCCAGCGAGGATGATGGGTTCTAAGAAGAAGGTTCATGCGTTTGTCCGCGTCAAACCCACTGATGACTTTGCTCACGAAATGATCAAATATGGAGATGACAAGAAAGTAAGTCAGAGTGCCTGCCTTTGCCTGCCGGGCCTTGCTGTCTCTGGTCTATGTCCTGTGTCACTGCTGTTGGGCTCTGTTTCAAAAACAACCTGTTACGGACCCAAACAGAATGGGTCAAGTTCAGCTGGACTCCAGCCTCCGAGTGAAAAGCACCGCCTCATGGGGCTGCTAATGAGAAGGCCTCATCCTTAATTGCCTTATGATCATTTTAGTGTTAATAACTTTGCTTTCCCCCTCTGTTTGCTTATAAAACTGGCATGTGGTCAGGTCTGTCATTCTATAATCTCACAGTGGGCAGCATCAGGATGTCTCCGGATGATTACTATTACAGTTACCCAGCCGTGGGGGCAAGTTGTCATGAGAAGAGGAAAGATTTCTCCAACTTTAGAAGAGGAAAGATTCCTCACCACTGTCCTGAGAACCCTTTGACAGGCACAGGGCTTCCTGAGTGAGAGGGTTTTTCATTAGCAAAGGCCCAGAGCCCCACCATGGCCAACATCGAAGCATCTTTAAAAAAAGACTTTAAGGGCAAAATGCTCAAGCCTCAGTGGTCCTAGCAGTCAGAAAAGAGCTCAGAGGCAACCCTGTGACGTGTGTCTTGCATGACCTGCTTTCAGAGAATAAAAATGCATAGAGTATTTAGTATGTGAAAAATCCAAACTTGTCTGTCTGTCTTTCATTATTTAGTGCAGGGTCTACAGGGTCTCACTATGTAGATCAGACTCGTAGTAATCCTCCTGTTTTCCCAAGTGCTGAGATTACAGGCACACGCCACCATGCCCAGTCTCAGTCGCTATCTCAGTGCGCCCTGGGGGCAGGGCTGGCATGACTTGTGTTGCCAGCGATTGAACCCCGGTCCCTGCACTCTACCTACGCAGGCACTTTAGTCTGCTGAGCTATCTGGCCGGCCCCAAACTTATCTTTCTTAGTCTTAGTTTTACTCCATATGGCCAGGTCTTGGGTCACTAGTTAGAGTAGCCAGGATAAGATTTGAGCAAGAAGTCAGGCACAGTGGCTCATGCCTGGAATCCCAGTACTCAAGAGGCTGAGGCAGGAGGATCACTGCAAGTTTGAGGTCAGCCTTGAACCACATAGTTCAAGATCTGTCTGAACTGCATAGCAATAGTCTGTTTCAAAAAACAAACAGATAAAAGATTTGAGCAAGAGAATGTTTACATCCAAAGTCTCCATCAAGAGGATTCTTACTGGGAACTGGCTTTACTCAGGATGTCCTTAGGCCAACTTCTGTTACCATGGCTGGCCATCAAAGTGCCTTACTGTAATACCAAAGAGTAACAGTGTCTGAGAAGCATAGAGCCTTTCTGTGCTGTTTTGTCCTGACTCACACTGGCCCAGGGCCTGGGTGCAGACAAAGAGGCTCCTCACAGTGCAGAGCAGAGGGGCCTCCCCACTGTCAGCCCCAGGCCAAGTTCTCATCTAATCCAAGGGCCTTCTGTACTTACGGAATGTTTCTAAGCCTTGTTGAATAGGAACATGAAGCTAGGCATGGTGGTGCACGCAAGAGGAGGCTGAGGCAGGAGGATTGCATAACCAGCCTGAACTATGTAGTGAGACCCCCATCTCAAAAACAACCACCACCGCAAAAGACCCAATAAACAAATCAAAAACATGATAAATGTACCTGACCCCATGGACTGGTTGGAACTGAACAGAGAAAAGTGCAAATGTTCTAGTCTCCTACTTTTGCCACCACAGGGTTGTGTGACCTCCTTGCGGGAGCTTCATTTTTCTATTCCGAAGAATTCATCCAGAATACCAGCAGCACATATGTGGGAGCCCCGCTCATCCAAGAGCTATTTTCCTCTTTTTTTTCCAGTTCAGGCCTCAGTCATGAGTGATTTTTTTTTTTTTTTTTTTTTTCTTGTTTGTTTTTGTTTTTTTGAGACAGGGTAGTTCCAGCTGGTCTGGACTCACTATGTAGCCCAATCTGGCCTCAAAACTCTTGGTAACCCTCCTGCCTCAGCC